ATCTATCATCTATCTATCTATCTATCTATCTATCTATCTATCTATCTATCTATCTATCTTCTATCTATCATCTATCTATCTATCTATCTATCTATCTATCTATCTATCTATCTATCTATCTTCTATCTATCATCTATCTATCTATCTATCTATCTATCATCTATCTGTCATCTATCTATCATCTATCATCTATCTATCTATCATCATCATAATCTATTTTCTATCATCTATCATCTATCTATCTATCATCTATCTATCTAATGTATCTCTCTCTCATATATACATAAATATATACATGAGGCCTATCGAGTCAAATGTCTGTCCCCAAATGCCCTTCAGTGTAAGCTCATCTACTGCAGCCTGGTTAACCTACCAAGAATCACACCCCTAAAGAAAACTGGCTCCCTCCCAAAAGCTATCAGTTTATAACACCATATACTAGCAAAGAAAATTCCCAGTGCCAGAAATGGCTCCCTCTTTTGAAATTGTTGACCAGAGGTCCCATAGACCCATAAACATTACTTGTCATTGCCCTGCCTCTTGGCTACCCACCAGACCTTGGCAGTAAGACCAAGGTCTGTATTGTTGGAGAAATCAAGCTGGTATGGCTATCAAGCCTTCATCTCTACTGGCTAGCCTTCATACTACCGGAAGGTGCTATGCATGTTACCGGAAGAGAAAAGTAAACACCAATCTTGCCCAGTTGTGAATCCTGTGAACTACAATAACAACCGGCCTGGCAAGAAATATGCGATTTCATTCCTGTTTACAGCTGGATAGAACCTCACGTGATGAATTCTCCCTGTCCATTTATCTGTTGATGAACACACGGGCTGACACCATGTGTTCAGCATTGTGAGTAGTGAATGCATCAACAATCGTAGATGAGCAAGTATCTCCATGGTGTGACAACTAAGAATGATTGAGCCACACCATGGAGGAGTTCTGGCTTTAGTTTTCTGAGGAATTTCCACACTGATTTCCACAGTGGCTGCATGAGTTTACATTCCCAGCAGCAGAATACAGGGTGCCTTTTCCTCTAAGTCCCCACCAGCATTAATTACTGTGGTTTTTTTTTTTTTTGATGCTAGCCATTTGACATGAACAAGGTAGATCTTTCAATATGATCCTCTTACCATCAATTCCCCACCTAGCACTGGTCTTCTTTCCATTGACTTTACGATCCAGTTCATAAAGAGATCCAATTATCACAAAGATGAAACTACACAATACATCCGTTTTTCAGGAGACCCTGTTAAATGGGGATCTGGCATCCTGATGGAGTTTCACTTCTCAGAGCCACTTGTGCTCTGCTCTGTGAGTAACCACCCCCAAGTCTATGCGGCCTTGTTCTCAGGCTTTAATCCTTCACTTGTGCAATGTGTCCTGACCCAAGGGCTCAGTCCATTTGTAGTGCTATTGGGTCTTTTAAGTTTTTAGGTTATCACAAAAGAGAGTGGTTTCATTGTGGCCTCCTGGTTCTTTACATTAGGGTCATTACACTTTGTTCTCACTTTTCACCACATCTCCCTGTCCTCTTTGACACACCATTTCCCACCAGATTGTTCCCTTTCTTCCTCCAGCCAGTCTCTGTTCCTGTTTTTCCTCTAAATGCATTCTATTACCTTCTCAATTTCCCACCTCTGTTTCTGTTGTCATGACTTACAAACAAACACATATAAATACAGGTACATATTTACATATATATATGCACACATAATTTTTAATTTATGCTCCTTTCTGAGTCTGGCTTATTTTACTTTACATACTGATTTACAATTGGATTCATTTTCCTCAAAATATTAATTCCATTATTCTTTACAGATGTATAAAACCCCATTGCGAACATACACTGAATTTTCTGTATCAGGTCGTCAGTTGATGGGCATCTAGGCTGAGTACATGTCCTGGCTGTTGGGAATAGTGCAAAATGAATGGAAGTGAAACTCTCTCTGTGGTATATTTGGAAGTCTCTTTGTAGTAGGATATCAAGTTCTTTGAGTGCATGCCTAAGAGTGGATAGCTATATCACTTGGTGGATCTGCTTTTAGTTTTGAGAGGAAACTCCACACTGATTTCCATAGTGTCTGCACAAGCTTGTATTCCTGCCAGCAGAACTAGGATTTGATGTCAACTTTTATGACAGTCAATTCCATTTTCTCTTCATTTTTTACAGATATATGTGTGTATGGATGGATGGATGGATGCATCCTGTATTCTTTTTATTCACCTCAATACACTTGTATCCTGTTCCTTTTCCTCTAAACCCTTTACTGCTCACCTTGTCGCCCAGTGGCTACACCAGTACAGAAAATGACAGCCCCCTCCTCCAGCAGCCACTAAGAATCATTATCTCTCCAGCAAGGGGTGTGACCTCATGGCATCTCCTCCCACCATGGTGGACAGTTGGAGACCTAGACCTGTGCAGGTGACCATAGCTGCTGTGTGTTCATGGTTGCAACAATATCATCTGGGTAGTAGAATTTCCTGACACTCTTCCCCATCCTCTGACTCTCAGATTCCTTTAGCTTCTCCTTTGTGATGTTATCTGGGACTTGGTAAAGGCTAGAGCAGAGAAGCTCCTCTTGGCAGAGAGTGGTGGTTAAGGTTAAGGCAGTGACTCAGATCTGGTCAAAGTGCTGAGAATAAGTGACTCATGGTGGCCATTCTGACTGGGGTGAGATGGAGTACCCAAGCGGTTTTGTTTTCCACTTTATTGTCCACAATCTTTTTCCTTGGGTACTCTTACATGGCACAGTCACCTAGTGACTCAGAGCCGAGTTGTTTGAGATGGGGTCTAAGTTCAATAGGAGTTAGCAGAAGTCAGGAAATTGCTGGTGAAGTCTGCTCAGCCTGACCTCCCATTCTGGGCTGATGATGACCTCCTGAGCCTTCAATCTGTCCCTTTATCTGTACTTACCATCCAGACTCTTCTGTTTCTCTTTACCCCACCCAGAAATCTAAGGTCCCTTACTTGTAGCACATGTGAAGACCAGGTCTTTTGCATATGGGAAAGGGAAGGGGAGGGCAGAAAGAGTCTAGATAAGACACTTGTCCTTATGAAACATTCCAAATAGAGATTGCCAATGTGCAAACAGATGCACTAACAGATGGACACATAAGTCCATATAAGTCCAGATGAAGCTAAAATTATCCTAATGCCTTTCACTTGAGGAAGGCGGAATTTTAATGTGAGGATTAGGGAAAACTTGGGTACGATGACTCCCACGTGAATTAATGACCAAGGTGATAGATATGCTTGCTAACTACCATGACTGATTACTACCAATTGTATACGTGAGTCACAACATCACCCTGTCCATGCGTACTTGTGGTTAGGCCTTGCAGCAAACCCTGTGTATCATGGTGAGAACCTGCACAATTATGTGAGGTCACAGCCCATAAAGCCATTGACACAACTGTCACCATCTCTTGCCATGAAGGGAGTACTGTGCATGAGCCTCTGTGTATTTCTCCTGGTGGGAGGATCAAGGCAAAACTCACAAAATTAACTTATAACCATGATTCATTTTATGAAACATATTTTTGCTGAACCTCCACACGTGGCTGCATCAGTTTCAATTTCCCAGCAGCGCTGGATGACTTCCCCTTTCTCCACATCCTTGTCAGCAATTTTCATTGCTTGTTTTTGGATCTTAACCATCCTGACTGGGGTATGATGAAATCTTGAAGTGGTTTTGTTTTGCATTTCAATAATGACTAAATCTGTAGAACAATTTTTAAATATTTCTCAGTCATTTACATCTCATCTTTGGAGAACTCCCTGTTCATTTCTTGCCCCAAGTTTTATGTTGTATTTTTCTTTGATGTTTAGTTTTTTGAGTTCTTTGTGTAGTCTAGATACTGCTTCAGTCAGAGA